GACAGTGTGCAGCCCTCGACCCAGCATGCGCGAGCCATGCTGTGCGAGCCCAGTTCGGCCCAGACCAGACAAGACCCAGCCCGACCCGACCCTGTCCAGTCCGGCCCGAACCAGTCCAGCTTGGTCAGAAGCCCCGGTTTGACCCAATGGCGAGTTCCGAGCTGTCCAATTCACCTACCGAAGGTCTGATACGATCCGATGAGCTTGATGAGTGATTAGAGCACCTTGATGACTCGATTAGAATCAAGAAAAGGCCAAGTCCAGCTGCCCATTGGACTTTGGTGTCCAGACGATCTCCATCAACAGAAATCAGAAGCGTCTCAGAGTCGGTAAAAAATTTAAACCGTAAGTCCTAACCCTAACTATAGATTCCGCTGCGCTAGGATTTATTATTCAATAGATATCAATGTGCACATTGTCGACGTTCCTAATAGAACCCAACAAGTCCTACTCAAATTATCTTGACTGAGGTTGTCCCTCCTAATCAGAACCCCTCTCCTATTGAGAACACTAATGAGTTTAACCTAGTAGAAGTGGTAATACAACCATCATTTGAGGTTGGTAGGATTGCTCAGAGAAAAGTAGCTTCTTTTACTAGAAAAAATAGATCTAGCAAGCAGGAGAGGGTAGTTAATATGCAAGTTGATAAAGAGGGGATTTCAGGAGTTAAAATATGAGAGAAGGATGATTCTTTGGAGTTGTCTGAGACTCATTTAGGTAAGAAAATTAAATTATCTGGAGATTTGTTGTTACCTGCGGTGGAGGAAACCAGCCCAAACTGGTCCCACAGTTTCCAATGAAGGTTCCTGTGTGGACTTGTAGAGGTTTGGGAGGGTCCTCTACAATTTCCCAGTTCAAGGAATCCTTAAGGATTGACCGCGCGTCGCGACGCAGCAAATTTATATTTATAAAATTTTCCTCGACTTACCCCTACTAAATAGTAGTAGTGGCGAGCAAGGGTCGATCCCACGAGGAGCAGGAACTAAGTGGTAACAATTTTAGTATTACTTGAACTAAACTACGAAAGCAATAAAGGTGGGGAGATTGATTTGAGGAAAAAAATAATATAAATAAAAATTAAATAAAATAAGAAAAGTCCAGTTTTCGATTCAGTTATCACCCAATCTAAATCTACCGCTAATTAATTTCGACGCTTTCTTTAAATTGCTAATGAATTACCAACCCTAGCTAACAACAAGCTCTGTTAACCAAATTTTCCCTTACAAAGTATTTAATTGAAATAAGTTCTTCGACTAAACCTAACTAGTGGACAACCTAGAATAAGCTCTCTAGATTTAATACACTAGCAGCATTAATTATTAGGAAAATAGATTGATCTAAGCAATGGACGCAAAAGTTCGGACCATTTAACTTATGCTAACGCTAGCCTAGAGATGCACGACCCCTAGTTTACTACTAACGAAACGAGACAATAAAAATTACGAATTAAAGTCCCAAATCTAGCAATTAAACTATGAATGTTCAAAGCAGTTGGCCAAACTAAATCAAACATCATAATTCATAAATATTAAACACAGATAACGTGAATCAACTCATCAACAAAATAAATATGTCGTCTAGATTAATCAACAATAAATAAAGATCCTTCAATTCATAGTCAAATCGAAATTAGGGTTCAAACATCCCCTCAAACCGGATAAAAATCTAGCCTAACATACTAATAAAAATAAATACTAAATAAAAGATAACTGAGAGAAGATAAAAATATCTCCCTCGTGCGCGGGTGCGGCTTCCCTCTGCGTGTGTAGCTTTTTTTTCTCAGTTCGTGCGCTCCTTTGCTCTCTGTCTGGGCATCTTCTTCTTTTCTTCTCCAGTTCTCCAAAAAATACTCCCTCTGTGTGTGTCTATTGGGAATATTAATTCCAAAGTCCCAAAACTTTCAAACTCTCTTGGCTGTTCGGGCCCAAATGAAGCCAAGTCTCCCAAATTAGTTTCCAATTAATCTCTTAACGTGAATCTACAAGGACTCTAAGTAATTTCTGGGCCCCACACTTCAAGTCCAATTATTTGCTATGCAAACTCATCCCAAAATTTGTGCTGCTACATTGTGCACCAAGTTGACGGGTATTGGTAAGACCCGATAATTGATCACGTAAACTTTCATCCAATGGTGAGTCGACCATAAAATTGCTCCAAAGTGCTGAATAACAATAGAACATCAAAGAAAATAAATTCATCCAAATAATAAATAGGTCAAAAAATGCAAACGTGCCAATAAATTAAGTGTATAAAAATACACTATTAAATATATAAAATGTGCACATTATTCGACCTATCAAGGATCCACCACCCAAATTTTGCTTTTCTTTCTGAAACAAAAAAAAAAGGAAAATTTGTCATATCTATGTGTAAGAAGCTTAAGTTGCAGGATAGATGGGTGTATGTTAGACCGGATTGTAGGAAGGGGGGGTTGTTTTTACCTTGGTCAGACAATATTTCTATTATTGAGATTAGAAGTTTAGGTTTTTGTCTGGAAGTGTGTTTTAGGTTCAGAGGATTAGATTCTGTGATGTGGGCTATCTTCCTATATGCTAGCACTGATAGTGGGATTAGAGCTAGACAATGGGAGATGCTTATTAGGCATAGTCTGTGTTGGGGGAGTTCATGGTGTTTGTGCGGTGATTTCAATGACATTTTGAGTCATGAGGATA